GTTCCAAAGCAGGGAAACAGCTAAAACATGCAGGATAGTGGGTCATGAGGACCAGAATTCAGAACCACTGCGCAGCATCAACACAACACATCGGTGTTGTGTTGTGGCTATTTATAATGTATGGAAAGAGTGCAACATAATTTACATGTAACGTTATGACAAAAGGAGCACTTGTGTAGATAAAGTATGGGCAAGACATGATAGTTAAAAATATATTGTTGGTTTGTTCTTACCTGTGACGGCTGCTTAGCTCTGACCTCTGTGTGTTACGGTGGCTCACCTCCTGTTTACAAGGTGCGCGCTCCCGGCTGTGGGGGAGGAGCTTAGGAAGGGGAGCTGAGAGCAGGGGGGAGGGACTACAAGGTTGTATCTGTTTAAAATTTTTCTAAGTTTTTGGGTTTTCAAGAAACTACATACAGCAGCTTTAATGAACCTGGTAATATCAGAACTGCTCATGTATGGTCATTTGGACTGCAGTACAATAGACACAAACCATCACAAAAAAATAACCTGAAAAAGACATTCTCAAAACAAATAGATCCGGTATTGTCCCACCCCTTTCTCCTAAAAAAACGGAGAACCCAACAAACAAAAAATCCACACATTTGTGCTTATACTGGGGGGCTAAACTCCCTGTCTGGACTCCCGCCACAACTAAATAACAATAACCAAAAAAAAWAAATAAAGAAAGGGGTTCTCTTACTTTAAAGTATTACTGTTTATGTTCCTTGCAGCCCTGATAAATAAATCACTAACTCAGATCTGGACAGACCCCCTGTGAAACTCTCGTACATAGAACAAAAAGAGGAATGTTGTCCCTGAGAATAATGTCTAAAATTAAATCAAGATACAACGCGGGACATGAAGTTAGAAGGTTCCTTACAACCTGACAATCATAATGGATCGATGAGGGCTGGACCTGCAGTCAACGCCGGTCCTCGTTGTCCGTCGCTGAGATGATCCTCTTTTTAACGTAGTCTATTGCTTTATTGGCATCCAGGAATTCCATGCTTTCCTCCCCATGAGAGATGCGAAGCCGTGCAGGAAAAAGCAGGCCGTAGCGAACATCACGTCGGTTGCAAAGAAGCCTCCTCACCTCCGTAAAAGCCGCTCGAGCCTTGGCCACAGCCGCCGTGTAGTCAGATGTGATGATATTCGGTGAATCTTTAAATCGAAGGGGACCATGGCTCCGAGCCCAATGCAGTATTTCCACACATTCTTGATAATAGTGCAGTTTAGCGACAATAACCCGCGGCTTACCGCCTGACCTGTTTCCACCTGGAGAGCGATGGGCTCGGTCCACCAGTGGCTCTTTATCCATCTGTAGAACCTCTGCTAGCAGTTTAGCCACTGCTGAAGTGGAGCTGGATTCTGGCGTTTCAGGAACTCCAATAATCCGCACATTGCACCTTATCATGTGCCCTTCCATATCGTCACATTTCTTTTGGAGCCCGACGACTTCTTCTTTCAGTTCCAACACGGTGGTGCGTAGATTACCAACCTCGTCGGACCAGGACGATAGGCCGCTCTCCACCTCCTTAACGCTCTGTTTCACATGGTCCAGATCTGCGCGCAGTAGCATCGTGCCGTTAGRCACWTCAGCTCTCACCGCCTGCAGCTCCCCTTTTAATAAGAATAAACTCTTCAGCCAAATCCGCTTTTATTTCAGATTTTATCACAGTTGAGAGATCGTTTTTATAGCGGCAAAAATGTCAGACTTCAAGGAGAGTGCGTCCGCCTGGCTGCGGGAGGGAGAGGAGGGCGCCGAAGCTCCGGTCCTAGCTGCGGTCTGCTTCAAGGCGGCGTCAGGCCTAGTAGCCATCGAGCTAAAATGTTTGGCTTTCCTCAAGTTTGTCGCCATTTTTCTACTCTTCCAGGCAAGAATCACTCAGGGGTCGAGTCCGGACGGACCAAATGTTCAAAATAGCAAGGACATTTAGTATAGAACCACAAACTGAACAAGTCGGAGCYGGAGCCACGCGACACACGTCTCACTCCTCCGCCATCTTGCCCCGCCTCCATGATTTTTAGTTTTTATAATCTGGTTGAAGATGTTGTATTGATCACAATGGCAAATAGATAATAATGAACTTTGATGTAAAAGTAACTTATAAATTTAGTTTAGTTAGTTTAGTTTATTTCAAACATGTATACAAAACAAAAAAAATGATAAAAAGTGATAACAAAATTAACGTTTGAAAAGGTCAAAAACTTATTTAATCCCACCCTTCTCCGAAGCTTATTAACAAAAAAATTATAGTAAATTCTTCTTTTTCCTTATTCTGTTACAATTTCATAAAGATTAAAACAACAACCTAGAATTTTAAACAATACCAGAATATATTCATAAATGTAAATGTACATCTACATGCAGTGTATATGCATACACACATAAATGTATACATACACACATGTACGCACATATATACAAGCCTCAAAAATCTCCATATATTGCAAAATAAAAAAAACAATAAAATAAAAAATAATAACAATACTCAGACATACTCAGCATCCCTATATCTTTTGTAAATAACATTTTTATACATTTCCTTAAATTTTTTTTATGTTTGGACATTCCTCAAGTTCCATACTTGGACTGTTCCACAGTTTTACTCCACCAACAGAAATACAAAACCCTTTACGATTTGTATGAACAATCCTTGATTTAAAGTTAAACTGACCCCTTAAATGATAACTCCCCTCCCCTTCAACAAATAATTTCTGAATATTGCCTGATAATATTTTGTTTTTTGCTTTAAATGTTATTAGTGCTGTTTGTACCTCTACCAGATCTGTAAATTTTAGTAGTTTTGACAAAAAGAATAATGAATTGGTGTGATGTGGTCCCTATATCCAGCTCCATGAATTATCCTTATTGCTTTCTTTTGCTAAATGAATAGTGGTTGTATAACAGTTTTATAATTATTGCCCCAAACTACTGCACAATTATTTAAATATAGAAGAACTATGGAACATTAAAGAATATGAAGTGATTTGTAATTCAGAACTTGTTTTGCTTTATGTAATATTGCAATTCCCCTTGACACTTTGGCTTGTACACGTCTGATATGAGATTTCCAGCTTATTTTTTCATCAATTACTCCCAGAAAATTAATTTCAGTCACCCTTTCAATTTGAAGCCCCTCTAAATGAACTTGTAATTCTAGTTTAGGTCTACCAAACCCAAAAATAATGAATTTTGTTTTGCTTAAATTCAGTGATAATTTATTCATGTCAAACCAATTTTTTATTTTCTTTAGCTCTGTTTTTATCCTATGTTCTAACAATTTCAAGTTATTACCTGAGAAAAATATGTTTTTATCATCAGCAAATAAGACATATTTCAAAGACTCTGATACCTTACAAAAATCATTAATATACAAAATAAATAGCTTAGGACCCAATACCGACCCCTGGGGGACACCACAAGTAATGTTCAAACATGAAGAGCAGTGAACACCCATCTTTACAAATGTCACTAAGATAACTCTTCACCCATCTCAACACAATGCCCCTGATACCATAACTTTCTAGTTATTTTATTAAAATGTTGTGATTTATGGTATCAAATGCTTTCTTCAGGTCTAGGAATATTCCAACTGTGTYCTGTTTTTGATGTAATGAGTTAGTAATTTCTTCAATTAAATCCATTAACGCCAATGCTGTTGATCGGTTAGCTCTAAATGAATAAATCCAGTGATTACTTTGTGTTGGAGCCTTTTGATGTCTCATTTGTCCAACATGTCCTGTTTGTCCATCTGCAGCAGTCCCATCAATGCCAAAAAGGTGAACAGTCTAAACAGCAGTGACTCTTATGTTGGCCTTTGGAGGAACTACCTAATACTCTGCTGCAGCTCTACCTCTTCCTCCCCGTCCTTGTGCCCCTCATCCTCCACCTCTGGCTCCGTCCGCTGCTCCCCGCCTGAGACGCTGGCGTCTACACCGGACAGTGGCTACAGTTACGAGTCAAAGGTGACAAACAAAACCCCCATCTGGTCTTGTGAAGGTTTGTGAGCATGCAGTAACAGAAGGCTGTTATCATGTGTTGACAGATTGTTGGTACTCCATCCCCCTCCTCCCTGTTTAAACACATTGTTCCCATGATGCGCTCTGAAAGCATGGACATCACAGAGTCTCTGGTATTGGGGCTTGGCAGGACTAACCCCTTTGTCTTCAGGTGAACAACACTCAATACTCTGCATGTTTAGGATTATATCGATTTATTACATCATGTTTGAGCTTTTCCTCCTCGTCTCCTTCAGAGAGTTGATGGAGGAGCTAAATCCCATTATAAAAGAAGCTCTAGAAAGAAGACCTGAAGTAAGTGCATTGCGGTTTGGTGAAAACTCTGTCATATGTTTTACAATCAGAGAACACGTTTGTTGTCTTTGCAGAACATGAAGCGACGCAGGCGTCGGGACATCCTTAGGGTCCAGCTGGTCCGGATATTTGAGCTTCTTGCTGATGCTGGTGTCATCAGTCAAAAGTATGTGACCCACAGGCATCAGGACGGAGGGCAGAAAAAGTTGATGACTTTTCAAACCCTGTGAACTTTTGTTTTTACAGAGCCAGTGGAGGTTTAGATGGAGAGAGCCACTCTCTGAACAGTACACTACTCGAGTATGTTGATTTGACCCGGCAGCTGCTGGAGGCAGAGAATGACAAGGACTCCGACACTCTGAAGGACATTCGCTGTCACTTCAGTGCACTCGTGGCCAACATCATTCAGAACGTTCCAGGTACCGTACATAATCGGGTGTTTTCACACCAGCCCTGTTTAGCCCGCTTTAACCAAACTCTAGTTCATCTGTCGAGAAAGTCTGGTTTGTTTGGGGAGGTAAACAAACTCTGATTCAGACCAAAAGAGCGAATTCTGGTCCACCTTAAAACCTAGGTCTCGGTTCGGATGAAGTGAACTCTGGTGKGGTTCAATTGAATGTGTGAACGCCAAGCGGACTATAACGCAGTTCATTCTGAGTTATAATGGTAATAAAGTTACTCATGTCTTGTAAATACCTTGCTGA